TGAAATTTGGCATTGATATAGAACACAGTCTGTAAGAACACATAAATATTAATAAGTAATTACTAAAAAATCGCTAACTTAAATATAAAAAAAAACTTAATTAAGTTTTTTTTTATTTCTGAGAGGTCGGAGTCGCGGGCGTCAGCTAGTTTATTTATATTGTATTATAATATTAATTATCGTTTTAACTTTAATTATATTATCGATATATTATGTCCCAACCTTACAACGGTTAAGGAAATTGATTGAATGTTGTATATCTTCAGCTTCGAATGAAAGCTAGTCTCATAATTTTACGGTTATAATAAAACAGATGTGCTGGTGAATTACGTGATAACATTTATAATAATATTGTGTTGTTGTGTACTCTAGAAGGCATGGTGGTACGAATATCTGTAATTGTATAATATTATAATTATTTATATTATATGAAACTAGCTATCGCCGGCAACTCTGATTAAAAAATAGATAGTAGTCGATTCTCAGACCTACTGAATATGCATATAAAATTTCTCATATGAATCGGTCAAGCCTTTTCGGAGGAGTATGGTAACTAACATTCTGACACGATAATTTTATATATAAGATAACCTTAAGTTATATTAAATGGATATAAACTTTATTTTATTATGTATTAAATTTTCGCGAAAAAAAAAAACATTTAATTGGCTGTTTATGTCTTTTAAGATTAAGTTTGCTTTCATATGATTTATTTGACTTACAATTAGATGTGAAGGTATTAATATAATCTTTTTATAAAAGCCATCACGGTCAAATATTTATTATGTTACTCAAATAGCCGGTAGCCGAGTTTCACTTGTTCATTAGACATCTTCATTAGACGTTAACTCGACTTAAGCAATCGGTCCGCACTCGACATTACGAATGTACTTTCACACTTGTTTCAAGGACGATCAATTGCTTCAAGTACACAAGTGAAAAAGGTTATTTGCTCAATAAAATCATCATTGAACGTCGTCATTACACTTGTTAAATCTGATGAAACTGTCATTATATTGAACACGATGACAATTTCGTCAATTTTTAACTGCGGTTAGATAATAGCGACTTCAAAAATAATTTTAGGTTATCAAATTAAGACTTTCGTACATAATTTAAATTTACTAACCATACACCTAAAGTTTATGTTAAGTTTTCAAATGAAAAAAAAACTGGTGGATACTCCTTTTTAAATAATCAACTTTTATGTTTTTTTTTATGTTAGTTTAATCTCCAGAACGTCTCAACGAACATAGTCTAGAAGAAAACATAGGCTACTAACTAAGATTTTTTTAATTCCACGCGGACGGAGTCGCAGGCAACAGCTAGTCTAATCTAATGAATGGATAAACATTGTATTAAACGGCTTAACATTTATAATTAAATTAAATTAGGCTATGAGAATGTTATCAACACTTTAAAGTTAACCTTTCAAGTAACAAGTAAGAGGCATTTGTACAGCACTCAGCACGCGATGTGACGTCCATCATTGCTAAGTTGACTACACCAGTTAACTTTGATAATTCGTAACTTAAATGAATAAGCGAATGTAAAACATTCCAAGTTAGACTTAATAAAGTTTAATATCTGTATCGGGAATCTTTAGAGACATTTTTTCTCTTTCTTCTATTGTAAGAAATTATATAATCGAAGTGTCGTACTACTATAAGTAATTTTATATAGGAAAGACAACTTAAGGCGATTTTCTGCTGCAGATTTTTGTTAATTTACTAATAATTCTTGATAATGGTTACATTATAAGCGTGAATCTTGTGACCCACAATAAATAGATCAATAATCTGTACCCTTATTAGGCTATTGACTCTTGGCACTAAATGATAGATACATATACTTAAGTTGTTCAGAATAGTAAAATGATTAATTCGAGATGAGTTTACGTAGTTTGCAACTGTTTGACAGCGACATACTGTGAGAATGTATTGATTTTAGCGAGTACTGTTATAAACAAACATGCTAGTATTATGTCGCGACCTCTATATCGAAAGGTCGGTGGTGACTTCTTAGAACGTATTCATATCATTAGCATTTTCAGTTACGCGTAGTATTTTATTTTATTATCAAGAAAAACTTTCAGTTACATGTTTACGTAAACTATTCAACACTATTATCCTATTGTAATAAAGAGAAATAAGTGATCTTATTATGTTAATATTAATCGATATTTAGTTGTTTGGACTGTCTGTTTTTACTCTAGTCTATGGGGCCTTCTTAATTTTGTATGATTACACACTAAAAGATTGTTTAATCCATTCTGAATACAGCAATAAGTTACTTAATAATCTGATAGAGAATTAGAAAGATATGTCTAAGTATGTACGTATCACACAATATACAAGGCCTGTTATTGTGATTTATAGAGGACAGATAACAAAATATACATATGTATATCTCATGACCACACTAATGTTTTCTCGGCGTGATTAATCATTTGTAATTTATTTATAATATTTATCTATATTCATTGCATTTAGAATGGCCGTGAGTTCTCGCCTTTCCAGGAATCTTAACCAACATCGCCTAGACAGAATATGTTTATGTTAATTTGTCGAAATGTAATATCTTAATTTTATTGGAATAAAATTATTTCCAAACTAACGTTCGCCCGCAACTCTATCCGCGCGTTATAAAACATGATTAAAAGCCTATGTGTTCTTCCAGACTATGTTCTATATGTTGTTAGGAAGAAAACCGACACTGTGGCGGTATACTGGCACAACACTAGCCTTACTAAAATGTCGACGTTTATGTCCCATCACTAATCATTCTGACCCTTGACTTTGTAATGAAAGCGTGCCATTCGCGCCAAAGGATTCTGACTAATAATGTCTAAAAATATGTTCTGGAGATACCTTCAAACAAATAACCATCCATTCATCCATCTAAACATTTGCATTTATAATGTAAGAAACTTGTAAAGGCATGTATGCAAGTTATATTTGACCTTGGATTTTAAGTCGAAGTTGTTGTATTTCGGTTGCTAGGCAACCATTCCAATCTTTAGTCAATCCTCCATGTCCGCGTTATCTGCCTTGTTAGGTGTAAACTAGGACAGTCTTAAATCATTTCCAAATGCCATACATCCGCCAACATAAAACTTTTATTCATTGCGCAAACGTGACTTATGCCCGAAATATGTAAATCAGTGGAGCGAAAATTATGAGCCAATTGTTAATTAATATTTAAATAAATTAGTATTATTGATAATGCTAAATTAAATTGCGATAAATATTTTAAAATTTAAACATTCATTTATTTAATTTATTTGAAATAATTTTTATTCACATTGTTCATTGTTATTCTCCAGCAACATTCATAATTGACTCTTAAAAGATTTTGTAACTAAAACATAGATTTTCATTTTGTTTAACGACAATCAGACAAACATACACGTATTGCCAACTTAAGACGAGTTAACTAATTAATACGACTTTCCAACTACGAATAGATGTTAGGAAAGAAAGGAAAAATTTTATGCAACTTATAATTTGCATTTTTTAGTCTGTCAATCACAGACATGACAATCGCACCGTAATGTTTTCTCTTTTAAAAAATCTTGTGCATTCTGATGCCAATGATTTAAAAGAAGGCTTTTTTATCTCAGTTAGTGTACAGTCAGCTGCGCAAATATGTAAAAATTTATAAAATTTCAGAAAGTCGTATACGCCTTCGATTTGAAAAATACGCATGCACAATTTCGCCATTAGCAAATATTATAGTTGAAAGTATAAGGATGGGTAAGTGCTTACATATATTTGAAACCGAAGACGTATACAAGTTTCTGAAGTTTTATAAATGTCTCCGTATTTATGCAGCTGACTGTACAAAAAGTTTTTTACACAATATTTGCATAAAGTTTAAATGCTTTTAGGTATAGAAATTGAACAAGAACTGTTATGATAACATAGGAAGTAATATTATACTTTAAACAATAATTTAAAAACATCTATGTACTTTGTATATAGAAAATGAATACTAGACTAATCTATGATATTTATAGATATGTGATAGTAGCTATATATTTTATAACATAGTCTTTGTCATTGGCAGTAAAGTATTTTAAAGAATTTTAAAATATTTACAGAACGTGAAGTGGAAGCTATTCCGCGTTTCGTCTGATGAGTGTGCGTCCCGGAGACCTAATTTAGTCCTCTTTCCCTTCCCACCCTCTTTATTATAAGAAAAGGGTGGGAAGTGGAAGTGGACTTTCCGGATGAGAGGATGCATGGAAAGGGAAAACATTTTCATTCTGTGCATCCTCTCCTCCGTCGATGAAACGCCGCTCGCTCGTTTGCCACCTTCTGATATAAAAAAAAATTCAGACTTTTAAATTAATAATCAATTGTATGCGCCTTACTTCGCTTCATTTATTTGTACAAACTTTTCAACTGGCTTTACCTATATGTAACTACATATTTAGTTCGCAGAATTTGTTATCATAACCGAATTACGCTCCAAATTTGAACAGTGAAGGATAAAGTGTGGGAAGACGTTAGTTACATCATGATGGCTGCACCGGCGTTCGATTTTTAAACGCTGTAATTGTTTAACTATATACCTTGGTTATGACTGGGTTATTTATGGAAAAAGTATTAAATAAACAATTAATACCGTGAGAATTAACTGCCGATTGAAACATGTTTATATTTCAATTTTACCAAAGAGAATAAGAGTGACAAAAATATGTCTTTGTACAAGTCTCAGCACTCGAAACTTACGGATAATGGAGGTGAGGATATGTTAAGAATTATGGAAACGTGACCGATGTTGGTGTGCTCCACTTTGACCCGCGCGTGTCAAGTGCGCGCTTGCGCCGTAATGCCTTGCGTAATTGGTGAAACACGATGTCTAAGACACCACGCTACTACACAGAGTAACCAACATACAGACAACTCATTTAACTAGCTTAGACAAAAATATGTTTATCTATTAATTTTCTTTAACTATTTAATTAATCTATATGGCCAAAAAGTTATACTTACCAATAATGTCCACAAAAGTAGTTTAGATTGTTCCATAGCCCGTGGCATTTTGTCGTAGAACTTATTAAAAATTTCGATCTGAAACAAGAAAAAATTAACATAAGTAAGAAAATAAAATGTACTAAGCACACTCTAAATTGAAGAAGTGATATTAGTTGTATTATAATATCTGCAGAAGCTTTATCATCCATTCCATCATCATCATCATCATCATCTATTGCTTTTATAAAGACGACTTAAGCAAAGGTAATTAAGAATATATGAGAATAAAAAACTTTTATTTGAATTATTCATTCTAGTTGTTTTAGTTTGTTGTGTAATACATTGAGGATGTTCTTTAAGTAACCTAAATAAAACCCACACCGACGTTGTGCAGTTCGCGGTAACAATGACAGAGAAATCCCCGGTGTCATGGCCGATCACGATCGGATGTCTACAGCACACCCAGACCAAATTGAGGCACTTATCCTCGGCTATTCCTAACATTAGAATAGTGTATTTTGCAAACAAATGACTGTTACACTCCAAATGTATACGTTGCTTTCTACTATAAGTATTATCATTACTATTACAGACTAGCTGACGACCACGACTCCGTTCACGCGTAATTAAAAAACAGCTTAATGAGTAGCCTATATGGTCTTACAGGCTATGTTCTACATGTGTGCACAATTTCATCAAGATACGTTAAGCAGTTCCGGAGATACCTTTAAACATCCATACATATAAACATTTTATCGCGCTCTATCACTTGGATTGTAACTTTATCTAAAAAAGAACGAGTGGTAGTTTTGTGTTAGATCCTATCAGTAATATTTGGATATAAGACTTTAATTAAAATAAATTCAATGAAACACAACAATAAAATTCTAAAAAACTTCAACAACAACACCACCGACGCTTTGGTATCAACATCGTCGACGACGCCGGCGCAACCCGCGCCCCCCGCCCCCTCAAGACGCGCCCTAAGAGCGCAGGCGCGCAGTGAGCGACGGGCCGCGTCCGCGAAATAATACCAGTGCCACTCATCCTGATGAAGGGCCCCCGATGGGCTCGAAACTAGTCGGTGCCGCCACCGGACGTATATACGTGAGTGTTTAGCCGTGTTTATATATCAGTTTAATAAAATTCTACTTCAAAGCATCAAAAGTTATGTAACATATTTTAAATATTAGGCTGGAAAGTTTTTGGTATAAATTGTATTACAAAATAAAAACAATAGGTAGTAAAGTAATCAACAAATAGTTACCAAGTCAATTTGCACAGAATACAATACGTATGTTTCTCACGATGAGAATTCAACAGTATAAGTAAATCAAGTTAATAATTAACAAAGGATTTTGGTTAAGAACTCAGATATTTCTGTTAGTTGTCAATAAAAACAAAATTTTAATAAAAAAACTATCAGCAAACATAATATGTACACCTTATATGTTTATACATACTATAATATATCATCGTCATCACCTCATTATACGTCCTCACTAAGGGACTCGCAGCCTACCCTAAGTTAGGGGTGACTGGGTCATAGTCAACCACGCTGGCTCAGTGGTTGGTTGGTTGACGCGTACTATACTACTACTACTACTACTATGTTATATTGTAGATATAATAAAAATACCTATGGATAAAATACCTTTTTTATACATTAGAGTAATTAAAAAAGGTTGAACAATTAATAATATATCCTAAAATATGACAAATTTAACTTTCTACATATTCAATTTTACGAATAAGATAAAAGGTTATGCCCTTGCTAAATTAAATAGATCACAAGGAAATGTCATAAGATCAAAAGTCGATCGAAAGGTGCTGATCGTGGTTCATTACTTAGCCGCAGGACACTGTTGTATTAACAAGATTACGAAACAATTTCTACGGCTCTTATATCGACAAGAGTAATTTCTAAAGGAATTAATGTATATTGTATGAGAACTAGATTCAAGAATAATAACTATTTAAGAATAATAATTGATACACGACTATGTATTATATAAATAAAGAGAATAATGTCTAGACATATATTTTATTTATTTAATTTTCTTTTGCTTAAAGTTAGTTGTAGTAGTGCATGAAATTGGAATCACTTGACCTTTTGTATGAAATTTTATTAGCAGTAAGTATTAGTTACGACTATAATCTTCAATAAAATTTCACACGATATATAATAATCACCAATAAAACATACAAAAAAATCTCCGATATGTTGCAAGTTTGTTTAAATATGTACCTAATCTTACTTAAGTTATATTACAACTCAGTCTTAATAAAACTAAAAATAAAATAAAAAGCCGAGTTCTAATAAAAAACTTATAACCTTAAAAAGACAAAAAATATAAAAAAAATATATCTTACTTCTTATTAATGTTTCTAATATTATAAATGCGAATGGATTTTTGTTAGCAGGTAACTGCAATACGGCTGTAGGAATCTAGTAATTTGGCACGAATAGATAGAGTGGAAAAGCACATAGGCCAATTGCTATGTTTTTTATTTCCGCGCGGATGAAGTCACAGGCAACAGTTAGTAATTTTAAAACAATATCAATGAAGCATGTCTATGTACTTTGAAATAAGTCTATTCAGTTTCCTCATACAAAAGACTTCAACGTGTATAACAATTTTTCTCGCCCAAAATTAATTGTTGCGGCAATATTTAAAGCTATATTAATGGAATTATTTCTATTTATTTAATAAAATTAATTGTTTAATGAATTTACTGGTTTTATACCAAAAATGCTGCTTAATTACCGTGTAGTTTTAAGGCCTTCTAGATTAATTACGAAATGGCTTATTATAATTAATAATCTTAACTCATATCTTATAAAAACGGATGTACCGGTTTAAGTATTATATTAAATTAAACATCCTTTTGTTCTTAATATAATATACAGAGTATAGTTAAACAAAAGTCTTATTACATTGAATTATTTAAAAAATCGACCGTGGAATTTATGTCCAAAGTTTGACTCACTCAGATTTTTATTGTAATTTGTTATCATGTTTACGACGCTTAGGTAAAAAGAACACTAATCTTTTTTTTTTACTTTTGCAAATACAAATTTAAGAGCTCTTGTTGACATTTTTATATTGTTTATTGTCTGGAGAAGCCACTTTTTAAAACGTTTAAGTTGTAAGCAATAACAATACTCGAAAGGAGTGAAATAAGTTACATTTTTTTTAAGTTGAAACCGAAACTTAGTTGGAAATATCAATTAAATACATATTACAGTATCACAATTTCAAATAAAGATAATTAATATTTTTTTTCATGCACGCCAAAAAAATTATGACAAAATTTAATAAACTACCAATTAAAATCTAGACGACCAAAAAAATCAACCTACCGTCTCGTTCCACACACAGCACTAATTCACGTTATACAAAATAATATGATTTATCGATCGTAAATGTCTAAAACGGATCTCACTAGATCGAATTTTTCGACGGCGAATTTCGGTACATGCATGTCTGCGTGGTATACGCACGCGGTCGCTCACTGCGCGCCGCGGGCGGGACTGCCGCTGCCGGCCCACAGACGGCGCAAGTGTGCTAATCGCGCCAACACGCACCGCATAATCAAGTAACAGGACATCTGAAGAGCTGTTAATATAAACAAACTTTACAATAGCTGTTTTAAAGCTAATATTTTGATTAATCATAGACTAAACATACCAATCCGGGTAGACCGACACTAGTAGAAATTTTTTCCTAGTTTTTTTTTTTATATGAGTACGAATTCCCAATGTATGAGACATATTTAGTACGTCTTTATCAAAAATTATGACAAATAAAATTTTTACTCTGAAATTTCTAACATTTCTAAATATAAATTTAACCTAGTTTGAAATCTTAAAGAAGCTTTTATTTATAGAATAATGATTTCCTCAAAACTTATCTAAAATTTGTCGTATTAAAATTATATTTATCATAGTAACAACTCTATTGAATCCACACCTGACATAATCGAAGAGCGAAGCAACCTACTTACAAGGCAAAGAAAGCAATGCCTTAGACGTATTGTCGTCCTCTATGCTGCCCTCTGCTTCCGCGTAACTCCCACCCAAAAGTATTAACTGCTAAAATATACCAAGGAATACAAACAAATTAATATAAATTAATTCATTTAATATAAATAATGTAACACATTGCAACACTTAAAACAACACTTACCATAGATAAAATTTAAACTTGCATATGCAAGATAAAATTCTATTTAAATTCTTCTCTATGGTTACGCAAAATTTCTATGACCATCGAGAATATTTCATGCACTTTTATTGCCTAACAGTCTACGGAGAAATAACTCAAGATCGGCCTTGGAACAGCGGCGCCTCTATATTAATGCATCGGCAGACTCACACGATTTACAAATATAAAAATATACATATGTTTCATTTATCTTCCTGTTCCAAATTAAAATTAAAATCTCAATATTGAATCCTAGATCCACTTCTATCGCTCTTGGTTTAACATAGTACTTAGTGTTGTAGCCCGCGACTCCGTTCGTGCGGGATTTATAGAAAACTCTATGTGTTCTCCCAGACTATGTTCCTCATCTATGCCAAATTTCATCGAGATCCATGAAGCCGTTTCAGAGATACCTTCTAACAAATATCCATCTATCCATTCAAACGTTTCTATAATAATAGTAAGATTCCCGGTAATAAGTTGCAGAAGGTCATCATCCTTAGTTCTTCATGGTTCTTAGTTATGTCCCCACATTTTAACAGTCTAAAAAACCTATAGTTATAAGTACAATGTTGTCACTTTGATGCCTTTGGTTAAGGATTGGAGCTTCAAGATAATGTTTTACCATAAAATTGCTCCTTTTATTATAATTATTTGTAAGTTCTTTTGTTATCCTTCAGTCCAATAGTTTCAATTCATCATCGTATTAGTGTTATATATTTTTTTCTGATAAATAAAAATAAATTATGATAAATATATTTTTGATATAAATTATAATAAACAAATTTCTAGCTCGTGAGTCGACTTAAATACGTATTAATTGTTTTGGTTTATGTGTAGAAAGTTATTCGTCTACTGTACACATGAGTAATTGTTACTCCTTAGTATCTGTTGTCTGGTGATATTCAGGAGTTCTAATTAATCATACTGCTATTACAAAACAGAATTAATTACGCAATTATATAATAGTTTATAGAACATTTATGTTCATATGGTAGGATTCGTCACTTACTGGATGAGGAAATGAAAAAGAAAATAATTCTTGATAGATTTTCTCACGGCAAGTTTCCATTGCCGAATAATTTATATTACAACCGTATTGCTATACTTCTCATTCAAAAAAAAATGTTTCTATACATGTTTTACGACAGTTGTAATTCAAGTTAACCGTACGATAAAGTAATGCGTCTAAAAGAGAATTTATTTTCTTTTCTAGATCTGTTCTTACATAAGAAGCGATCCTTGTAGATTATGCGTAAGATAATTACGAGTGCGTTCAGTGTTCATTGCGTAATTTCTACGTACCGTCCGAACAAACCACAGAGCAAACTACAAAGTCAAACAACACTTTCTAGATTTAGACACACATTTACTCTGCAATTTTCTTTACCTTTCCTGTTCGCAGGACAGGATATTAGCAATAGTTCTAACAAGGCTTATTGTCTTGTCAAATAGCGGTACATCTTGAATTCAAAGATATATTAAAATGTTTTAGAAATATTAAATTATTAAAAAATATAAAGCTCGTCGTCTGTCATTTGTTTTTGTCATTTGAATTTCTATCTGTGGGTTTATTTAAGTTTTTATTTGTTTTGTAGCCGACTTCAAAAAGAAAGAGGTTATCAATTGGTCTGTATTTTTTGTGTGTTACCGCGTAACTCCGCCCATGGTGCTCCGATTTTGATTTTTTTTTCTCAAAGTAGCAAAATAAAGCATGTACTTTGAAAAGATTTAACCCAATAAGAAGTTTAATTAACAAACGTCGGATACCGAGGTTCAGGCATTATAGTGTAGATTCGGTAAAAAAAGAACAAACGAACGATTGTGTTATTGAAGTAAATGTTTGACCGTTAAAGCGTGACAAATACGCGCTACGATGTCGCAACCAGATCATATTGTGCAAGTCGTGTTTGTCATCGCAGCTAATAAACTATTCCGGCAACGCGTATACTCTCGTTTCTTTTTATATTCTAATAAAAGTGACTATAAATGGACTTAAAATGCTTTCCCTTTTTATTCAGATTGCAGACGAATGCGACTAGAATCCTAAATTTGATCTTTGCAATATTCTTAGGCAGACTTTGTCTCCATTATACTATACGTCGTACACATTTGCCGTGTAACCAAAAATGTCTATTTCTTACGACAAAATTAAGAAGTTACAGCCAACGTATCTTTAGTGCTTTGTTCTATTCTTGATTAAAAAAACAATTTTTGCTAATAAGACACATAATTTTTTTTGACAGATTATGATAGCTTCAAAAAATTTAAAGTTCACATTATTACTGTTAAGACAAACATTCAAGTTAAGATACCACACAGGACTTTTTTATTTTTAACAAGTGAGATTAATGAAATTTAATTAAATACAAATTTATCGTGTCGTTAAAGTAAATGGAAGCCATCATTCGTTTGTAAAGAGATCGCTTGCGCAAGCGACGCGTGGGAACCGACCGGCGCACGTCCGTGTTCTCGTCTGTATGCAAAAACTAGACACGGCCGGAACTTGCTTCCGATTTTAGATATACTATCGCATTTTATACAACGTTTTGTCTTCAGGTGTTTTTATTATGGAACGAGTTCACATTTGATATTGCAGGTGTGGCCAATTCAAAGAGATCGATGGCCGACGATTGTAATACATTCGCTTTGTATTATGACAACTTACCATCACAATGATTGTTGAGTAGTCAACGTGTTTTAGAAGTCAACGTAAACATCTATCAAATATAGTGGATTGTAATAAATAAAATATCAGTTATGTGATGCATACCCTGTCTTCTGTTCCCTTGTTGGAAGGAAATGGTTATTACTCATATAAGGGAAAATCAAAGTATGATTATTTGATTTTTATTCCAAAATATTATTATGGTATGGTTTTTAAAAACTTGAAATCACGTAAACTGTTGATATGATTCAATGAAAGTGCTGTTGTATTTAATGGTTTTGGGTTAATTTACTTACCTTTTCCTATAGGAAATATTTGTACGGTTCTTGTTGTCTTTTTTTTATTTAGAAGCCGGTGTAAGATTACAATAAAAATAAAATTGAAGAAATTATTTATTTTAATTTAATACAATAAAGTCACATAGACAATAAATAATTTAATCGTTAAACACATCTAGTCTACATACAGATAGGAAGTAGATTATCGAATTGTTGCAAACATTCTTGGGACAATTGCTTCTTTGAAAATATATCGATTTTATTAATGTTTCTAATCGATTTATAAATTTGTAGCAGGACAAAAATGTTTTACAACAAACCATGATATCAGATCTTTTGCATAATATAATTTATTTGTGACATAATTACAGTTTACAACATCGAGATATATTAAAAATCGATAAGACAATGTAGATTTATATGAATTGGTCGAGAATTTGAGGCATGTTCGAATTGTATAGTTAACAAGGATATCCCGATGAGGCGCTGTCGTCGCGGTTAGTTCTCTACGACAATATGTAAAACCTAAATGGACATATGCCATAAGAGCATGAAAGAAAAAATGACAAGAGGGGCGCTAGTGTGCCGTCATAATAAAGAATGGTCAGATATCCTTGTCAGTCCATAATTTAACGCACCAAAGGTAAATGAAGACAATCTAATACGTTTAATCGATTAATCACCGTTTTAAATTAAATTAAGATCGTCCTACAATGTCATATATGTACAAAATAATTTAAAATAAAAACTCTTTAATGAAATACATCGAAATATGCTCAAATTCACGATGTTAAAATGTATGAAAATGCCAGCATGATTTATTAATCTAAACACATATTAAAGATATTAAGTTGAAATTGATATTTCTAGTAATCGAACCCGGATAAGCGCGAGTTTAAGGGACCGCGAAATTTTTCTCGCTTTAAGAGGTTTCTCTCTAACCATAGTTTCTCGCTTATGAATTACCAGACAATGACTCGCGTGTAGAGGTTTCCTCGCTTATCCAGGTTCGACTGTAATTTACTCTTTAACTCCCTAATATAACTGTAAAAATTCCACTTCCTTGACTTTTGTATGACACATATTTATCTCTGTTTTTTCAAGGAGAATGAAAGAGACGACAACATGTGCCAACACTTGTCAAAGCAGTGGAAATCCACAGCTAAATAATCTAAACATACAGCACATTGAAACATTTAACTATAACTAAACATTATAAACATCAATACTACAAAACACAACATTTAATTTGCGCACAAATAAGGGATAAACATTCAATGATTATTAAAAAAAATGGTAACATTTGCTTTATTATGACAGATTTAAAACAAAACAGAACAAAGCTTGAAACAAGAAACACTTTTATTTTGCCGCCATTTGCATTAAATACGGCGCCAT